TTCAAGGGCATCGAAAATCAATGAGAAAATTGCATGATACTTAAGTAGTCATTTTTTGCAGAGCATAGATCTTGCATGTAGCCGAAAATAAGTTCTTTCCAAAGCTAACACCTTGCGGTAACTGGATCATTATAGATTTATGTTGCATCATGATTAGTTTTACAACACTACTTAACTTATCTTTTCGAAAGGGCAACGCATTTCGAAATTTTGGCTGACATTTCATGAGTAAGCACATCTACTGTACACATGAAAGGAGGTTGACTGGCTGGCGGACGCCGCCACACATAGTCCAGTAAGAATTGTTGCATAAAAAGTAGGCTTTAGACCACGCAACAACGCTGAAAATACACCTCGGTTGAGAAAACTATGCCAACCATAGCCACCAATGGAATATCGGTGAAGGGGCTTTTTTAATGCATACTTAAGGTTGCCTCACGAACTAAGCATATCTTCCGCCGATAAACGCTTAGCACAGGTACAGATGAATGCTGAAAGTATCTGGTGGGTGTGTTCCAAAGCTTGGTGATATACAATTAGAAAAAGGGAACTAGGTGACGGACATGGCGCAGCTAATCGCGGCTGTTGCTGAAATTTTGAGGTCCTTCCAAGACACACGCCGGCCAACTGACGGAATGCCTTCATTACCCAGTTTGCCGCTGTGTACCAGCGAGGCCTACGATGCCTTTGTTAATTGGCTTAGCGCTTATGATGCCTTTACAAGGGAGACGGTACGTAGATTCTTAGACCTATATGCGTATCTTTTGTATGGATAACAGGTAAAACGTCTAGCCACCGTTAATGGCCGAAACGAGAAAGACTTTTCCAGGGATCTTCTCTACTCGGTCACCCTCAATGCCTCAATTACCGCTGGGGTGGGTTAAGTTAAAAGCGGTATTTAACGGCAGCCCCCTTTATGGCCTTCAGAATAGAATGTCATTAATTTAAGTTTACATGTCCAGATGTTATTCGTGAACACCGGCCCTCTCTTATTGCACGAGAGAGTTCGTTCGCAGGAGTGCAATTAAGTGTTTCCGTGGGACGTGAGACAAATGTGTTGGCATAGCCGAACGTCAGGACACTACCACGATGGTAAGGTATTGCCTTGAGTCGTCCTAACCTACTTGCAGTTCCCGTCTGTATTACCCCGGCCTCACCTTACCTGACAATATCTTTCTCCGAAGACATTGTAACTACGCCTTCGTTGATATCTTTAAAACCTGTGTATACCCACACATTTCTACGTTATATTGGTTGGCATAGAAAAGTATAATACAAAAGCGCCTTGATTTAGCAGTACGATTTTTTCTGTTTAATTTACATTATCGTACCAACTGCTTTCTTGCTTGCAGGGGTCGCCTACAGATATCGAAAGCCATGCTCAACGTGTACTGTGGCAAGGTATGATTCATAGTATATGCTATTTTGACATTTTGTTTGATAAATTCTCTCTAACCATAAGATGACGTCCAAATGTATAGTATGGTAGTAACTTTAGGGTACTAGGCAATGCCCTTGATGACCCTATTGAAAACGCTACATGCAATATTAATGTTAAATACGCATCTTACTACAATGGTGTATATAACATGTTCGTATGTGGAAGAAGTTTTCCAGTTCGGAAGTGCGAAATTCACAGCACAATAAGTGAAATTATATACAGTCAGCACCAAATGTAGTCGTTTTGTGGTCTGCGGAAAAAAATGTCATCAAAATGCGTTTCAGAGGGATTTAAATCCGGAAATAAAGTTTATAGCTGGTGCGGATAGTCCTGCACTGAGAGTCGACTTTTATCATAGATCAACCGATGTGACTGTCTTTTGAAGACAGACATTGTGTCAGATGTCATTATTTCGTTTGGGAGTGAGTTGCGCGCTCGAAAAACTGGCTGACCGAATGAAAACTTCCGATGGTCTGGTTAGTTCAGGACTTCGAAGTGCCGCATTGAATCCTGATGTGGCAGGGATTGTGGGAAGGGAGAAATCGGCAGCGTAAAGGGGGGCTGGGCAAAAACGGCGAAAATATGGCGTCCCCCTGCGCATTTTTTCGGTGAAGAGCAACACTGGGGATTTGCCCCGCAAGAGCCCTTTCATAACTCTCTTCAGTCCTGCCACAGCCCTGCCATAGGTCCGGAAAACGGGAGCTTGGCTCAGAACCCTCCCATATTACCAGTGAAGTTCTTCAAGACACAATCCTAGACCTCATTTTATTTTCCATATATTCTCTCATATTAACTGCTTCTCATTCATATCAGTCTCAGTTGAAACTTTTTACATGCGCGCATATAAAAACTTCCGCGAACGACCTTAAACTCGTATATGCATATGACAAACCTACAGTATCCGATATTCAGAGATTAATGAAAAACAACTTTGAAAAACTTCGCGAATGGACTAGTCAATGGCAAATGCCCCTTTCAACGGCAAAATGGCACCCCTCATTTTCGGTCCACAAAACTCTCTCCATAAGATCCGAGGATAATGAAACAGAGGAGGGCCGGTCAGTAAAAGGTTTAACTCTCAGCTTTCCCAATACCCCTGACTTATCTCCCCACGTCCAACAAATATCATCGAAAGCCTGTCGCCGGTGTGGATTCATATGCACAAGTTTCAGCCTAAATGCACTAAGAATACAACTTTTCAAAATGTACGTTTTAACCCCCCTAGATTACTGCTCAATTTTATTTGGCATAATGCCCTCAGATGCCCGTAAGAAATAAGAAGGCATTCCAAGATGTTTTATTAAATCTTTGTCCAGATGTGAAGGTACCCAGGATTCATACTTAGAACTATATCATAAATGCGGTCTTAGACCGGTCTGGATCAGATGACTAAGCCACACTCTAAATTTTTTATTGATGATCACACACTTGGATGTACTGGAAAGGACTTTACTAACTAAGAGTACCTAAATTCGAAAAGTCCTATCGATCTTATTTCTACCCCATACGATATTGATAATTGATATTTTTTATTTAATGCCAGTTTACAGGCATTATCAAGGGAAGCGTTAAACACAAATCCGACCAGCAGTGAAAAAAACTCCCGAGTTAAAGGAATAAAAATATATTTGATGGAGGTTTTTATGGTTTGGAGGGTTCAGGAGAAAAAACTACTGGCGGCAGACATTCAACCGTAAAGAAGGGGGGAGGGGGTTGCATGGTATCGGAGATTATCAGACGTCAATTCCTTTCATTAAGTTGGGGATAGTCAAAGCAGAGGCGTAGAGGAATAGCTGTCGCTGTTGGCCAACGAAACTGTGTGTGGTGAGACCGGCCATACTGTTCAGAGACCACAAACGCCATCGCTACGGTAGAGTCGATCAGTGGATTCAGAACCCAAAATACGTGGGAGTTTTTCTGAATGCAAAAGTCAAGTAATAGTTCTCATAAATAAAGGATAATATTGCACCGAAAGCCTGTCACAGTTAGAATTTCACTGTGACAAGAAAGCCCCCATTTGGCGCGTGAGATCAGAGGGAGAGAAGTTCACCGACGGTGGTGGCCCTCGGGGGGAGAGAGTGGATTTTGGCTGCGTCATCCAAATGTCCGTCCAACTCGAGGGAGGGGAGATAAAGACAGTAAAGAACAGAAAATGGACAGTAAGGAACCATTTTAGGTTACGGGATGTGACTTAACACCATTATAAGGTGTAACGTGTTCTTAGCCGTAGAACTATCCACCGAGTGGTCGGGAACATAAGCTCTGACAAAAGGTTATCCGTCGGACATTCTGTCAAGAACCTTCGAACTATTTGGAAGGTATTAAGAAGTCCAAATGGCATACGTAGAAAGCCGAAAAGACCAAAGGAAATGGTTACGATAGTCTTCCAAACGCCCTCGGCAGGGGTAGGGATCTGGTGGGACGTTTGGATTCAGGAGAAGACATACTTACCGAAGAGGGTGCTGTAAAATATCTAAAGATGTAGAACGGTGTAGCGGTCAGGGCTAGTGACTGTGTTCAAGACCCTGTTGACAGAATAACGAAAACAGACACCAGTGTTGGTCTTTGAAACCTTGTAGAGGGGCGATAACACTCGACCAATGTGCCTGATATCAGCTTTTGAGGCAGTCAGAGTTGCAGATGCGAGCCGAAAATGCCAAGAAATCATGGAAGAATCAGTAGTCTTATTGGCAAATGTGAATCCTTGCTACTGATCACTGGTATGCTATCTACTAGATACCTATTATCAACATCGCTTTACTGACAATTTCGGATATAAATACCGACGTTAGGCAATCATGCTCTCACTCTGCCAGTCTAAAGAGAGGCCCAGTCAGTCACTTAATTAAATGTCTTGCTTGCGGAACTGTAGACTCATGTTCTGTCGACTCTGTGAAGAATATTTTGAGCGTAGCACGGGCTAAGTTGGTCGAACTTATCTCATTGCGGAAAAGGCCACGGATATGCTGCTTTGTTTTGCGGGTTCAAATTCAAAACTCTTAGGCGACAGCATAGCGGTGAGCAGATTAGAGATTTACCGCTCCCGGTGCTTTCAATAGAACGAACCAGTGCAGCTCATCTTATCAGCCAAAGTATACGAGTTGCAATCTGCGTTTCAGGCAATACAAAAGGATTCGATAGCTTTTAATACATGCAGGCTTCTTTGTCCATGATCGACGCGTCGTTCGTATTCGACTCAATATTCGCCTGTCTTCCTGTCTTTTGATATTTCGGTCATCCATCTCTGCCAAAAAACGTCCTCTCAAAACAAGCTGAGAAATAATCTTTAAAGTGTAATTTACCCTCGTCTTCGTTAATCACGATATTGCAATAGCTTCCTATTGCATTGCGGCTCACAGAAAATCGCTATCAGGGGCTCAATGAGGTATCTGACTCAGTTAAATGTGGGTTTACACGAAGATCGATTTAAAGTGCCTCCAAGTCAGTATCCTGCCAGCGAAGTTGACAAGCTAACTGCGAAGGCTTAGAATTGCATATGATGTTGAACGTCGTTCGGGAAACAGCTTGACTTTGTATCTAGTAATTAAGCCATTTGTCAGCCTAAACCGCGCGTTCTAAATTACTTTAATTTTGCCGACGCGGTGAGCACTCGAATCCACGTTTGGTCAGCCAATGGGCAAAAAATATACACTCGGAAAATGCCGATTCGACCCTCATTAACAAACTATTTTCTATTTTCTGCGACATGGCTTGCCGGAAATACTTAAGTTGCCCTAAACTTAACGCGACGGACCACCGACCATCAATCATAAAGAACGCTCAACACTTTTGAAACCGATCACAAATAAATTGAAAATGAAATACTGACATACTGTGATGGATGCTGAGAACTCGCCAACTGAGTGTTAAGATGAGAAGTTGGCGTTGATCTCGCCACAGGCAAAATAGCGTTATTTCTTAGGCATTTCAAAATTAAACCCCAGAACACGATGCAAAAACATAAAAAAATCAATCAGCCAGACAACAGGAATATCAAGACACCGTAAACGTCGTCGGACGTCATGATAAACAAAAAATAAAATTAACAGTCGTATGAGCAAACTCCTGACCCGACCAAACTGCAGGCGAGCAAGACGAAAACAGACAGACATGAAGTGAAATCTTGCATTTCCCTAAGTCCGGCAACTCTTTAACCTAGAGAGTCCGCGTTCACACGAATGAACAAGCGTATGTAAACCCTCAAGAAAATCCGCGAACAGTAGTCGTATAGACTCACCTATATCACAAAAGAACGCTAGCGGCATCCATTATGTATGTCTTTTACGCTATAATGCAACAGATCATAAGAGGCAGGAAAGTAAAGGAGTAAAGGCGTTCATCAAAAATGTGCGCAACTTGGCAACAGACCTGGGCGTCACAAGCCGGACAACAGGCTGGCCCAAACGGGCGGATTTGGAGAATAGGTGGTTCTAGCTGAAAGAGTCGAAGCGACGTTTTAAAATCAACCGCTAAATTCCCCGCTTGTGAGCGATGTGAAAACAATAACAAAGGTAGTGCCAAAGTTGTAGCAGTTTGCATCTCCTTGCCCTCAAGGCATGGACACGGGCTTGTATCACCTGTCAACGGAGTAAGATCCAGCGTCACAACAAGGCCCCCACTGGCAGCTTCCCCGGCCCTGGTTCAAGGTTCAGGCACGTTCACCTGGACATTGTAGGCCCCCTGCCTCTGTCCAATGGCTACTCCTATCTCCTCACCTGTGTACGTTTCACTCAGTGGCCTGAAGCTATTCCCCTGCCTGACATTGCTGCTCCAAAGGTGGTCAGGGTTTTTTTCAGTCGTTGGTTTGCTATCTTTGGTGCACCCTCCACTATCACGACTGGCCATGGTGCCCAATTTGAATGTAACCTCTTCCATTCTCTTCTCTCTTTTTTAGGCTGTACTCGCATCCGCACTACAGCCTATCATCCGACAGCCAATGGGGTGGATGAGCGGTTTAACCGTCAGCTGAAGGCCTCCCTACGCGCCGCAGACGATCCGGAGGAGAACTGGACAGACGACCTCCCCCTAGTCATGTTGGGCATTCGCTCCTCCCTCCAGTCGGACCTTGACTGTTCCGCTGCTGAACCCGTGTTCGGTGCCACCGTCCGGCTTCCCGGTCAAATGATCTCGCCAGTCCCGCGATTTGCCGTTGAGGATCCTACCAACCTCCTGCATCGCCTCCATCAATTCCTGCGGACACTTTCCCCGGTTTCACCCAGGCCATCCGTCTCCAAATCTTACCTCGAGAAAGACTTGGCGACATGCTCTCACGTCTACCTCCGATGTCATCGAGTCCGCCAGCCCCTGGAACCACCCTACGACGGCCCCTTCCGAGTTATCTCTCGTGGGACGAAGAACTTCCGCATCCAACGTGGAACTCGCGAGGAGGTCGTGAGCGTGGACCGTCTCAAAGCTGCCGTCCCGGACACTCCTCTGGATGAGCCCTGTGGTTCCCTCCCACCTGCTCCATCTCCCCCACCCTCTATCCCTCCGTCCTGTATATTTCCTCTGCCCCATGTCAACGACCCCCAACTGCAACTACCCCTTCATCAACCGCAAACACTGTAATCGCCGGCCATACTCACTCTACCCCTGTATATATCACCTGTAGTAGACGCCATGTTCATTTTCCTGACCGTTTGGTTACTCATGTTTTTAACACATCAACAGTTCCTTCGGCGTCGCTACTCGCCACCTTCGGTCTAGCCAGAGGATACTGTGGCAGTTCGCGTCGCCTTGCCATCCGCCTTTGTCAAGCTGCCTTGCTGTCCGCCTCACGCTCCTTGTCGATACGTTGTTGGGACGCGCAAGGCTTGCTACTAGCCTCGCGAGTGCTCCAGGCCAATCAACGCTGTCCCCCTTCTGATTGGCTGGCGGACGCGGATACAACGAAGGGTGCACACACGCGCTGGGTCTCAGCACCTCGAAGGCGGATTCAGACAACAACCTGTCTGGAGAGAGTGCTCGCGGCGACTGCCTACAGAGCTTTTGTGTACGCGCTTTCCAAACAGTAAAGGTTGTCTAACTTAGACCGTCTTCCCTGACTTTTGATTGGGAATATTTGTCTTGTCGACCTCACTACTTTCGACACATTCTGTGATTCAACCTACCATCAATTAAAGAGGATAGGATGGAGAAACAGGTTTTTCCTGTGAAAGACCCCTATGGTTGGGATTTCAGGGAGTCAGAGACTTCTGGTGAAGCATTAAAGGAGAGAGTCAAACAGAAGGTTTTGCTATTCAAAAATGTACTAAATGACAAACAAGAACCCCATGAGGTAATTACGATTAAAAAATAGTCTGTTTGAGACCTCTGGCTAGAGTGGGAACAGAGGAGATGCGATCAGAGTCATTGAAAGACGTTTTGTGAAGGAAATAGCAGACGGATCTAATCTTGTCTCGAAAATCCAGACAACGAAGCAACCATCACGGAGCGTTTCTTCAGATAGGTTATTCTGTCAACGACTGGATGAAAAGGGGGACACGGGCAGCAGAGCTGAAATGGCATCAGAGACAAAATCTGAAGATCGAAGTCAACGCAATCATAAACACGGAACGCCAGTCTCTATAGAATCATTTGGTCAGATTGGCAATTATCACACAGTTACAGCTCCATCAAGTACTTAGAAATTCGAAGCTAGATCATGAACTGGACATGTCGTGAGAAATATATGGCAATGGTTGTCAGGCGCAAGAATCAATATGCAATTTTTAGAGATCGAGAGGAAAATATGGCATTTATTTGCACTGATGTGCAGTCTTTTTAACAAAACGAATGAAATCCTAGTGACCACGGCCCATTTGCAATCTGATCTTATAGAGCTAACTAAAACATAGTCATGTGAGCTGATGGCAGACTCAGAAATCCCACTGGAGGCACGTCAGCCTATCCGCGAAAAGCAAAGCAGAGGTAGGAGTAGGGGGATTGAGATGTTCATAGGGGATACAAGTAACTATGCTATGGCTGGGTCCACACTAAAGAGGAACAGTGGTTACGAAATCCCTAGTTGTAAGTTGAAAGTTTAAACCAACCGGACTTCCATATTGCATTGGCATAAAGACCACTAGCACAGCAGAAGGTCGTCATGGATTGGAAGCAAATCCTCCCTAGCAAACGAGTGATACCACTTAATAATTTTAACTTTCCTGACATCGGTTTGGAATCCATGCACTTTACATAACCCGAAAACTCATTCCTAAAGAAGCTACTTCAGTTTGTCACCGACAAATTCCTAACTCTAAAAGTTACCGTGGGCACCCGATTCCAAAATGGGCAGCAGTCAAACTGCTTGGACCTCATCATTATCAAGAATGAAAACTGCATGCTTGGATTGACTTCTAACATGCCCCCCGCCACCCGGTCGGCGTAAATATTGCGTTCCTGTTTGAGTGTACAGTCGTTTTTCGTTACCCGAAATTCGAACAGTCGATGGCAATGAAGGTATAAAACGAGGATTATTCCAAAATGGAAGAGCTGCTGAGACAGGCTGGAACCCTATACATGTACCTGACGCAAACGCCGGGTGGATTTTCTTTACGAACTTGGTTAGGTGCCTGTCTTAGAACTTCAGCCCGTTTTAAAGAAGACCGTGAACCCCCTTATCTAAATGAGTGACATCGGAAATAATAAGAAATATGAAAAAAGGCAGACTATAGAGAAGATATACCAGATGTCAAGAATCCGGGCCTTCCTCTGAATTTAGGAAAGAACGAAGTAGATTCCGGAATCTTCTGGTGGAAAAACGAGCAGCATTCGCCTCGAAAATAACCAAACGAATACCAAGAAATCCGAAGAAGTTCTTCGCATAGACAAATAAATACAAACGAAATCTGGCCTTCATTGCCTGTCTAAGGAATTATCAGGGCAATAATTTAACCGATAACACAGGTAAGACGAATCTCTTATTTAATTTCATCATGTCCGTGTAAACTGATGAGCCGCTTTTTGATGAGAAAGTGCACCGGCAAATCGGCCCTTTTTGAAATACAAGTAAAACGGTGACGCTCATAACAGGCACGTTAGGGAAAACTCTGGTACAGCTGCAACCCGCTAGATTGCCTGGTCCAAGGCGCATATCCGCAAAAGTACTGAATTAACTCGCAGACCGACTGGCCTTCCCGCTCACCCAAATCTTCGAAAGCTCAATGGCAGTGGTGGTTATACTTAATGATTGGAAGCTGGCCAACGCAAGCCCAATATATAATGGGGCATAGGAGACTCGCTGAATAGCTCCAGACCAGTGAATCTCGCAAGCATTCGCTGCAAGCTAATGGAAATAAGATGAAAAAAGAACTGAGTAGGCGAACTGAGGAAAACAACTTGCTAAGCACACATCAACATGGACTTATCCACTGTCTAGCCTGTTTCAGTAACCTTCTCGCATCTCTAAAAACTGGAAGAATCTCCTGAAACCGGTTTGCCAGTAGATAACATCTACATTGGCCACCCAAAAGCATCTGACAGCGTATCCCGTGAGCGGCTGAAATTAAAACTGCGTGAAATGGACTTGATTGACAATTTACCAAATGGTTGGCCAACTTTCTCACAGGCAGATGTCACGGTGTTTGTATTACTGACGCTTAATGGAGTAAGAAACTGTCCACAGGGGTTTCCGAAGGGCAGCGTTATGGGTCCAATTCTGTGTTTGATACATTGATTGCCTGACCTGCGAGAAGGCAGTTTTCTCTAACAATCCGAAAATGTGGAATTTAATAGAGAATCCAGAGGATGTTCTGGACCTGCAAAGTATTGTGGATGGACTGCAGCAGCAGTGTGATAAATTGCTTCCAAACCTCAATTTTAACAAATACAGAGAGTCATCGGACTATGGCCTAGTTGCAGAGAGGTTATGGGATTTAAATGTCAATTTTTCATTGAAAGTCACCAAAGCGAGCTAGAAAACGAGTTAAGAGTCTGGGATGTCATCTATTCTCAAACCGTCGTCTCACTACCCCAAGATTACAAAAAGGACGATGGGCATCCTGTGTGTGACCAGGAGATGCTTTTATAACTTTATCGAAGACCCCATTGGTTGAGTGTTTCGAATATTTATCCGACTGATGTTAGAACTTTGCATTCAGGCGTGAAGCCTCTGGATGAATCAGGACTTCACTGTTTGGAGAATGCTCAACAAAGGGCGACCAAATTAGTGAGCGAACTGAGTTGCCTACATTACGAGTAACGACTGGGAAGGCTTGTAGTGTAAACGGCAATTAAAACTACAAAGAATAATATATACGTAACTCTAAGTGGGGTGTGCTGCGTTTCTCAGAAAAAATAACGATAACAAAAGAACTATAGGAAAAACAGCAAAAGGTAAATAACTGTACAGAATCGCGAAAAATAAAGCCCCCTCCATAATCATTGGCCGTAGAGTGCATGTTCTGGGTGAAATCCCGAGACGAATTCAGTTACTAAAGCTTGTTGCTCAGGTGAATTTACGAAGGATATAAATGCTTCGTGTCGATTGGCTAAATGTGACGGAGGCGCATGAGTGCAATCAATGAAACGACGACACTAAACAGCAGACGGATACAAAGGGCACCCTTTTTATCTAGCTGAAACCAGGTGTGTTTAATTTAGCTAATTTAAACAGAAAGGTTCAGGTGTACAAGAAAGTGTAAGGTGAAAAATCGAAAATGTACGTTAACGTACGGGCTCAATCTTTCTACCCCCTTTCATAGGCAATACATATTGCAGACGATAATTCAGTTCAGTATAATTCAGTATATATAAGGGAAATGGGCAGTCTTTGGAAAACCCTATTTACAGACACAAACTAAAAGATGTGCACGTATGTACGAGGATAAACGATACACTTTGTCAGTTCTTATCAAGTTAAATTATGACCATCGTATGAAATGTTATCAAGTCTTCGTTTAAATGCCCGAACACTTTCCGCCAGAACAACCGAATTCGGTAATTCGCTCCAACCTTCATTCACCCGGTGAGAGAAGATATTGCCCCGAACTAGCAGTTTGGCGTACTTTGTCCTCAGTTTATATCGGTGGCCGAGGAGATTTCCCGTATGTGCTTGTTCAAAAATATCGGCCAATTTAAGTCCAAAATCTACTTCTCTGATGAGTTTGAAGACCATGAGCATTTTCCCTTTGCATAAAGTTTGGAGCTTTCTAACCGTTTTTCATAAGGTAAGCTCTTTAACCCACCAACAAGTTAAGTCGCTCTTCGTTGCACCCTCTCTAGGAAAGTGTAGCCTTGGTTCATCGAGGGGCGCCACGCCTGAATGCCATATTCTAAAAACCAGCCGGATACATTTTCCAAACTGTCGACCAAAAAGCTCTATGTCAAATTTAAGGAAGAATCTCCTGATCGCTCCCAGGACGCCCATGGCCTTCTTTGCAATGTTGGCGCAGTGAGGTAAGGATATGAGAATGGACGTCATCCACACACCTAGGTCACTTGCCTCGTTTACAAGCTCGAGTTCGTTACCTCCGAGGAAATACTGATGTTCAGGTCTCAAAGTCGTTCGGTAACTAGGGCTTAGACAGATGAATTGGCGTTTGTTAAAATTGAGGGTGAGAAGCCATTTATCACATCCCTATTACAGT